CCCGCCAGCGCCGCGCGCAACATCCAGAAGCGGCGCGACAAGCCGTACAAGACGGAGCAGAGTCGCGTCGTCGCACGAAAACGAAAATTGGACCTACACGTTTGTGGCCACGACTTCTCCCAAGCCATCCGGATACTGACAGTGACCGTACCAGACGACATACACCAATCCGCCAGACGGCTTCCAGTTCTTGCCCGTGGGCACGCCCGACCTGGCAGATCGCTGCAAAGAACTATCAAGACAAAGAGGACTGCCTGTGAACGTTGTCAATGTAAGTTGCGCGCGAGGAATCCGCGCAATTCTCTGGATTCGCCGGAGCCAAGACATGGTGCGCTCTCATCCATAAACCGCAGCTACTGACACTTTTGCTTAGGCCAAGCCAGTGAGCAAGCACGCAGTTGATCCGGAGAAAGTCTCCCACCACATTCATCGCATTGGGTACCATTTCCGCTCTGACGTTGTAGATGATGCCTGCCAGGAACTTGGCTACGTCCATGTGCATGACAATTTCATTAAGGAAGCAGATCTGGCCGCGCAGAATGAGAACACCCGTATGGCGCGGGCCCTCGCCCGCTTTGGATTGTCTTGGGATATCCCCACAACCGGGCAGGAGACGAACGAAAAGGTGCGAGCAGCCATCAAGGAGTTGTTCCCGCGGATTCCCGAGGAAGATCTGAAGGCCATTCTCGACCATGCCTGGGAAGAGGGGAGCCACCGTGTGGGAACAAACTCAACCATTGAGCTGCCGCGCCGTGTTCAACTCGCAACCATTGCCCGTATCCGTCATACGTATACTGACTATGATCGCCTCTTGCGTGCATTTGAGTGGAAAGAAGCTCGTGCGCTAGTTGAGCCTACGTGCCTGAAAAAGCTCATCGAATGGCGTGGTGAGAACGAAGACGAAGATGACAACGAATTGGAAGAGATCGTGCGCGAGACCATTGTCATCGACGATGACGATAATGACAACAGCCGGCTGCGACGCGGTAGTGAAGCTGACGACGAGGATTCAGCCGCCGATCAAGGCTATGCCAGCGATACCAGCCTCGAAATCAGCCACAAACCTGCGGCAATTGAGGATTTGGGCGCAGAGAGCTATGACGAGCGTTCGAGAAGATTTCTCGCTCGACACCAACCGCCTGCACGCAACATGCAACAGCGCTTTATGGATGTTCGCCAGAAGATCGGCCTTGCTAGACAGCAGCTGCGTGATGCACATGTGATCGATCAGCCGTAAGCACATCCGGGAACGGCTGGTGCATGAAGCTAACGGTATACAGAACTGTGGTGCGAGTACATGTGCCACAGAGCCCTCACGACGATGGAACCATCATGATCGATGGCCGGATGTATCGCAGAGTTCGTTTCCGGGCATGAAAGACATGAGTATGTGTTAACAAAGCTGTAGGCCCCGGTACCCGTGGACCCATCGAGATCACCGGCATATTACGCACCTGGCCCTCCACCTCCACAAGGTCATGTTGTCGGACAACCGCTCGCGTCGCCATATGCCATGCCAGCGTCTCCACATCGTACTGACTCTTCATTTGGTCGCGGCCCGCAGGACCAGCCCATCGCTTCCATAGAGACACAGGACAATCTGCGACGGAAGGCCATATCTTCAGCCACTGCAGGCCACACACGAGCGCCATCCAACGGCCACCGATCCCACCCAGTGTCTCCGGTCCGAGACTCCACTGGGAAACGCCGGCGACTGGACAGCCATGGCCAAAATGGGTCCTCAAACGATCCTGCGCAATACTACAGATCTCCTCTTCATACTCCTTCCCGCCCACCTGGAGCAGATTCCAAAGAGACCATGCATACGCAGCCGCAAGCCGACCATCGTGGGAGCCCGTTCGCTGATCGTCCCAATGTGCCCGAGACACAGCCACGTCAGGCAGTCACCTTTGTACATGGCGCGCCCGCGCATTTGCCTACGTATGGGTTGCCACAAGGGACAGTGCAGAAGGATCCCAGAGTCCACCAGAGCGGGACGGTCATGGAGAGCCGTGCTGCGCCCAAGTACGGTTTCGTGGACGCCCAGGTCGCTCCAATCCAGTACGTGCCAATATCTCGACAATACATCCCCAGGCCACAAGCAGAGCGACACGTTGCATATGGGCCTGGCAATAATGGTCGCTCCGTGCCACAGGTGATGTATGTCAACCAGGCCCAGCCAGGATATGCATACCAAGCACAACCAGTTCATGGAGCTCCAGCGCCGGTGCAGCCAGCGCCAGTGACGATTCCCGCTCCATACCCCGCGGGTACACCTCAGTATGCACCACAGCCTCGGTATTACTATCCAGGATGAGCATTCGTTGTGTTGTACAACAATTTTGAACTTGTCAGTGCGCTCGCTCTGCATCTCTCACACAGCAGTGACCGATATGTGTCATACAACGCGGCATCACTTTGCCTGCCCATAAGCCCCAGCTGATGGGTTGCAACCTTGGCATTTCATGGCCTTGAGGTATGTTGTTCTACGCCATCGTCTCTGCAACCCCTACTGAACACTTTCAGTCATGGGCCGAGGACGTGGGAGCTGGGCCAGAAGGGAACGAGAGAAACACAGTAGAATAGTCAAGCAGAAGAGGAGGAGGGAAGAACTCTTCAAGGCATCAGAGTATAGCAAAAAGGTGTAGATACGTGAGGAAGAGATGGCAGCTTGACACAGGCGACATTGTCATCTAGCAGGAAGGCAGCTCAAACAAACACCCACCTCGGGCATTACCAAGTGCGCTCATTGAGTCTTCCATTCCACGTATGAGCGCCCAGCCTTGAACCTGCACTGAAGTCATTGTCAACAGAACGCGATGCTCAAGTGTCACAGCGACAGCGTGATCAATATGTAAAATGAAAACAAGCCATTGAACCTCGCTACAAACACAGAATCTGCATAACAGATAGCAATATCCCGTCTTCATTCCAGAGTCCCACTCGGCTGGTCGCTGATTTTCATCGAACAATCTCGTTCCGAATGGTACGTGTACAATTTGTGAAGACATTCAACTTCTTACTTTCGTCCGCCAACGTGAAGCCAGTAGGCTCACGAACATCAGATCATGCTTCTCAAGGCGCATCTCGTCAATCTCTCTGCTTCCTATTGTAGTCCCTCGTCTGTATATCTGCATGAATTCAATCAGATATCGCTGTGTTCATGGTGAACGATGGTATACGGTCAGTGGTAAGCGGCATTCGCGCTCGTTGATTCAGTCCGCAGCTCGTGGCTGCCTAAGGCGCCAATATCTTTTGCAGCCCGTTTCTCAAGTGACTCATTTGAGTCGAGGGAGTCGTCGCTGCACATGTTCGTGATGGACTCGTCAAGTCATGTGTGTGCTCACAGAGCATAAGGGTTGAGGGATCTGATCGTCAAGCATCTGGGAAAATGTTAGCGGCTGAATAACAAGTATGAGGGCATGCTGTATAGCACTCACGGTGGGCTCTTCGTCAAATCCGTCTTAAGCAGCACTGGAACTCGAGTCATCTCCTTGACGTCTTGGATGTAGTTGCCACCCTCCTCGCGAAGTGTGAAAAGTCCGAGATACTTGTCCTTGTTGGTGAGTCGAGCTTCTGGAGCTGAGCTGTTCAGCACACGAGAGTCAGACTTGGATCTCTGGGGAGCCAGACCATTTCTGGCAGGAGACGGTGGTCCACTTTGCGTCGCACGATCGCCGTTCAACGCAACACCACTGGCGGTGTTGTCAGTGGCTTCCGAAGCGTCGTCATCATCGTCGAAGAGTGCATCGACGTCGTTGGCATCAATGGATCCAGTCTGCATGTTCTTGCGCTCAGCCTCCTCAGCCTGCCTCTGCTTGGCGACAGCGTCGCGAGCAACCATGCTGTTCGTGGGACGGTGGCCCTTAGCCTGTGGACGTTCATCTTCTGGCACGAAGGCAGAAGATGGAACTCCCTTCTCCCAGTAGAGCTCTAGCAGGCGCTTGTTCTTGTCGAACTCGGCCTTCTTGAGCGGCAGCTGATCGCAGTGAACTCGCTTCTCAAAGCCGTACTCTGGAATCAAGACGTCGAAAGCTGACTCGTACACACATACAACGATACCAATGGAGATGAGGTCTCCACCCTGGTCCTCACTGAGCTTGTTCATCTTCCGGCAAGACTCGATGTGAACGCTCTGTTCCTGTGCGTTGTGGGCAGAGTCTTTCTTGGTGTTGCAAGTCTCGGCGGTCTTGTGAAGTGACTCGACGTCCTCGGTGAACTCGGTAGCGCCATTGGAGAGAACAGCCTCAAGCTGTCGGTGAACGACAATGTCTGCATATCTGCGAGATGGGTTCGTGAAGTGGGTGTACAGTGGCAGGTTGAGGGCGAAGTGGCTGAGGTTGTCCGGCGTGTCCGCACGGCCTGCCACTTCGTACTTCGCACGTGCCATGGTCTTGAAGACCAAGGTTTCAATGCCCTTCCTGATTTCAGCGTCTTCAATGCGGAACAGGCTGTTTTGGAGTGCAGAGGAGCTCGATGTGTCGATCTCGTATCCAATGTTGCTCATCCGCTCAGCCAGAGTTCGAAGCCGACGGCCGTTGGGGATCTTCTGAGTCCTCAACAAAGCACGTTCTTTCAGCGCTGCGAGGAGCTTTCCAGCGACGAATGCGTTGGTCTTGTGGCTCAACTCTTCGATCATCTCGTGCGCGGGGCTGGAATCGAAAATGTTGTGCTCGACAGGTACGTTTTCATCGTCGAGCGAGTACAACAGGCGAAGGGATGGGATATTGGCCTCGTCACTGACATATCGTCCCTTGCGAAGCTTCTGTGCGACGTTGTAGAGGGTGAGGATTTGCTTCGCACGGTCCTCATCGACAGATGCAGAGGTGTTACCGCTGATAACAGCATCCACCTCCTCGTACGAAAGCTTGCCTGAGCTTCGGATGACCGACTTGCCGATCCAAGTGTCCTCCTCGATGACACGGCCGGTTGTAGAATCCACCTTGAAGACGACGGACACGGCATATCGGTCCTCGCCAGGGAGCAGGCAAAGCACATCCTGAGAAAGCTTCGGTGGGAGCATGTTGACTGTTCTATTCATCAGGTAGACACCCGTTCCTCGCTTTTTGGCCTCGCGATCCACGAGGGAGTTGGCCTTGATGAAGTGTGCCACATCTGCAACGTGCATGCCAACTTCGACGTGACCGTCGCCCAGGTCTTTGAAGTGGATCGCATCGTCTAATTCCTTGCTGCCGTTCGGGTCGATGGTGAAGGTTTTCTCGTCTCGGAAATCGCGGCGGTCCTCTAGAGCGGGCTCGCCATCGTTGGCGACAGACCAGTCTTCGTATCCCACATTCTTAATGACGGCATCTGAAAAGTCGTCCGGTCCGAAGTTATTGTCGCGCAAGAGAGCGTCCGTTTCCACCCTAAGGTCACCGGCCGTGCCAAGCTGTTCGACAAGGGTACCGAAAGGATGCAAACTGGTGATGGGCCATCGCTTGATGCATGCAACAAAGATTTGGTCGGCGTAACTCTGATGCTTGTCGACAAAGTCCTTTGGTGCCTGCTCCGTAGGAATTGCAATGAGGGGCACACGCTTGTCCGTTGGCTTGAACCAGACGATCTTTGGGCGCTCCTGCTGGCGTTCTGGTTGACGGTGTGTGTTGCCCTCGCGAGCCTGGCGCTCAGCTTCTTGCTTCTCCTTGGTGGCTTGACTGCTGGGGCGCAACAGTCCAAGGGTGCCGGAGAACATCTGACCAGCGACTCGCTCGATGACAGCGACAATGTGTCCCGCGTACAATGGCTTCTGCTCATCATTGATCTCATCCTCCTCCACAAGGAGCAGGCTCTGACCTTCCACCTCCACATCATCGTTCTTCTTCTGTGTTGGGCGCTGCTTCAAGCTACCGCGTCGGCGCAGTCCGCCGTCTTGTGCACTTTCAGGCTGCGTCGTTGCGTCGTTGACAGCGGTGATGCTGCCGCCACGCTGGTCGGTAACATCCTTACGCTTCTTCTTTTCTTCCTTTTCGCGTTTCTGTCCCCAGACTTCATCGACGTCGAGTAGCTCTACTGCGACGTAGTCACCCTCCAACGCCCGATTGCGGTCCTTGCTTCCACAAATGAAAATGTCGGCGTCGAGATCGAGTGTTGTGACATAAGCGTCGCTGCGGTTCTTCTTGTTGACGCGGAGAGTTCCAGCAACAAGTTGGCCATCGCCAAGCAACGCTGGAAGTGTGGCCTGTGGTAGGTACGGAGTGAATAAGGTCTTGCGCTGCTGTTGCTGCTGAGGACCAAGCTGGGGTCCATTGTGCTGTCCAGTCAATTGAGCGAGACTTGGAGGCTGAATACCAGCTTGCTGATACGCCTGAAGCTGTGCAAGCTGCAGAGCGTTGAGCGGCTGTCCACCATAAATGGCAGGATTCTGTACAAGGACTTGGCCTTGTGGAAGCTGCATGAGCTGGGGCTGTGCGTTGTAGCCAAAGCCCTGCATGGAGCTGATGGATTGGTTTGCCATAGAGCCACGAGCACGGTGACCTGGCTGGAAAGGCTGGGCGCTGGCTTGCTGATTCATCTGGAAATTGCCCATGTTGTTCTGCGAAGAGTCATTGTTGGTTGGGTTCGGGTTGCGCCAGTTGCCCTCGAAGTTGCGTGAGCTAGTTCGACCGTGGCCTTGGCTACCACGGCGTCCCAGCTCAGAAGTGTTACCACCGTCGTTAGTCGCCTGTGGCGGAGGGAATTGGAAACCTTGTGGCCCTCCTCGGCTGCTTTGTGCCATGCCGCGTCCATTTCCAACGGCCATACTCTGGCTACGTCCATGCCCCCTACCGCTGAAGGAGCCTCGAAGAGAGTTCGATGCCGCGGGCTGTGTGCTTTCAGCATTCGCCGGGCTCACAGAGCGATTGGTTGCTGACGGCGAGCCGCTGGTTGTCGTACCAGTGGCGCCAGGAATGGGAAACTGAAAGCCACTAGTCTTGCGTTTCGCCTCTGCCAGCTCTGCGGCCTTTTTGGCTTCGGGTAACGCCAACGAGTGTCGACGAGCATGTCCTCCGCCTGCTGCACCTCCACCTCTTCCACGCGTAGGCGCGCTGTTTTCATTTCTGTTTTGTCCAAAATTGCCAAAATCTGCAAAGCCCGACCCAGCTGCACCAGCAGAAGGTGCAGGCGGTGGACCCATGCCCATGTTTGGCATGGCGGATTGATTCCTTCGATGTCCGCCTGGCTGTGCGATACCGCCAGTCATGGGAATGCCAAGGTGTTGCTGGCCCATCTGACCCTGCTGTGGAAACTGGAAGGCACCGGGTTGGGAGACATTGAGGTTTTGCATTTGGCCTTGCAGTTGCTGGAACTGATTAGGCAACTGCTGTTGCTGGGGAATCATGCCCATGTTGACATATTGCTGGTGCGTGGCGGCGATCTGCTGCTGTTGCTGTTGCAACATCTCAATCTGCTGGGCTAGAGCCAGCTGTTCCACTGTCATCGATGTCAGCAGAGGCGTGGTTGAGAGGGGCAGCATTGGAAAGGGGGGCGAGGATGCGGGGGACATACTCATGAGCGGCGTCATTTCTGAAGGGCTGCGGCGGTGGGCGATGTGCAGACGGCGGCCAGCTGGCCCCTGCGGGCCCTGCGATGCCGCTGATTGTTGTTGTTGGCCCTGCTGGTCCATGGCGATGCAGCGGGCGAGATCTGGCGAAGCGCCTCGAGGTATGGCGCGGCGTGGTGGGCGCCAAGGGCAATGCAGAGGCAGTCAATGCAATGCAATGCAACGGGCCTGAGTCAGGAGGTTGCTGATAGCCGTAGAGCTGCTTTTGTGACGTATGCTTCGTCGAGGCAAGGGGCCAAAATCGTTGCTGTGTGGGAGAAACAAGCTTGGTTACCGGTGCGGTATATGCAGTGCAGAGAGTGGTGCGTGCGTGGGCTAGATGGGTGCTGTGTGCGTCTGTAGTGGTGTGAGCGTCGTGGAGGAGCTGGCGGCGGTGGTGCGGATGCGGCGTAAAGATCGCGTCGCCGGGCAGGGCGGTGGTGGGCGGGCGGGCAGGCACAGC